TATTTCCTGCGGCAAATTTTATACCACATTTTTTATAAAAGCCTCTTATCACTACTTAAATCCTCCCCAAAAAAGTTTCTAAAAAAAAAATCAGTAATTTAATAACATTAAAATTAACAACTAAATGAAACTCATTTTTGATATTACCTATTTTTCTTAATGATTCTAACAAAATGATTTGGGGACAGAGTTGCTCCATCAATTTAAACAAAGATCTAAAGAAAAGTTCCTTCTCATAAAGATTACGGCCTATAGTGTGAAGTTTTAGCCCACGTTTTTTTTCTAACTCAAAAATTATTCCTACTTTTGACATATGTATGTTGAAGTATTGTCATTCTCTTCAAGATAGTAAATTCCAAATGATTTTTTTTAAGGCTTTATATTTATGAGAAAAATTATAAAGTTATGTTAATAAAAAAAAAAATTTTTGTACAAGAAATGAATTTTAAGTTTAAAAAAACCACAAAATTCAACTAATTGACTTTCATTCAGTATATTCCTCAAAAAAGAAACTCGAGTTTCTCCTTTTTGATTCTAAAATCAAGCTTTAGTGATTTATCACACTACAGCTAACAGATTCTACACCAGTTTCTAATAATGCCATTTTTAAATAATTGTCAACTGATTGTTTTATTTTAACTGATTGTTTAAAATTTTTCCATATCATAATTACTTTTTTTGCTATAAGTTTTAGAGTTGTATGTATGGTGGAACTATAACTTGTATAACTGTTGTTTAGAAAATGAAGACCTTAAATTAACTGTCTGTAGGTGGTTCTGTATTATATTTATCAATACTTTGAATTCATTTTAGCTCAACATAAATTTCTCTAAATTAAAGAAGCTGTAACAAAAAACACTTTTTAGTGTAAAAAAATAAAATAAAAGATAATAGTAACTATCTTCTAGCGAATTAAGGGGTACTAGTTTAATAAGTATATCTGTGTAAAGGAGAAAATACTTAAACAAAACTTTAATAATAAAAAAGAAAAATTTTTCACTGTTGCCTAACTTTTAAACGTTTTAGTTTTCAGAATATTTTGGGTTGAATGTCACGCAACTTCAAAATGGAAGCTATGTTCAATTGACTATCATAATTATAGAAATTTTTTTAAGTTTTTGTCCTATTAAATGAAATGCCTCGAAATATGTCGAAACCTGCTAAATGTCTAAAAACTAATCCTTGGCATTCTTTTTTTCAAGGCGGTTAACTCAGAGTGAAAAGAGTATTAGCTCTCGTCATTAACAAATTAACAAATGAGTGCTTAACACTTATCTTCGCTGCTGTTTGACATTCAAAAAGCAGTAAATAAATACCATTTTTTGAAGACTACTTTTTTTTAAGTTGACTTCTATACAAATAAGCAAATTTAGATCTCTACAAACTTTGTTGAATGAATACTTTTGAAGAAAAAATTCATAAAAGTCATTAGTATCAAAAATGTTTTACTAAAAGTTTTTGTTATCATTTTTTGTTTTTATTAAAATACGCAACAAATATTAAGTCTTTTTGAAAAAAATCTAGACAATAAGAAACAACAAACAGTTGATTGGAGAAGTTTATCGTTAGATTTAGGTTTGAAGTGTGACACTCACGTATACTATATGTATATCTAAACAATTAAATTTGTTTTGTTTACTACGGTGCCCTTCCTTACAAATAGCGTAAAGTTTAGTGTTGTACCAACTGCATCGCAGCAACATATTGCTGCGAAGCAGTTTTCAAGTAAAAGTAAAACTCTAAAATTTGATAGATGTTAACTTTACATAATTTGAAGTTTATATAAGTTAGAAATTTGCATACACTTTTGTTCACATTTTCTTATATAAAAAAGTGCTTTAACTCTTTTTAACCTTTACCTTGGTTGCAATGGCTTCAAAGAGTTCCGTGTCAAACACACATAAAGTTGAGCATTTTATGGTAATAAGCTTTCGTAAATTTTTTCAACAAAGTCGACACACGTAAAGTAGCCGCAGTGTAGTTGTTAAAGTTCTGGCTCAGAATCAAGAGGTCCAAGATTTAATGCCGGCTCTGGCCAGATAAACGATATTTGTAAGAATGGACGAGTGTATTTCTTAGCTAAATGTACTTCCGCAGTACTCTATAATAAGTCCGTACGTACTTCTTAAAACACCTCAGTAAAACATTAAAAAAAAAACTTAATTATTTAGATATATTTATTTTGATTAAAGGATTTATTAGACGTTTCAAGTAATTTTTTGTGTATTAAATAATATTAAAACCTTTAACAAACAATACGCCGTAGTGGCCGAAGTGGTCAGCTCACAGCATTTCTGAGCTGAATTGCCGGGGTTCAAGTCCTTATGTTTTCACACTTTTTCTTTAATCTTTTTTGATTTTTAAGATATAAAAAAAAACATTTTTGAAGTTCAAAAGACTAGTAGAAGTTTATTGTGTATATATCACGATCAAGATAACATAAAGAATTTTTTGCTTTAACTACTTTGTTTTGAATTTTTGTATTTACGTTATTATATTAAATGTATATAGAAAAAAAAAAACGAAACATATTGTCTCTTAGCGCACAAAATTACTGAGCTATCAAAGTTTAGGAGAAAACGTTTAAAAGTTTAAGAGAAAAAAAAACCGTTTTATAAATCTCTCATAGTGAGTTTTCACCTATCCGTTTTTCTACGGGAACGGTAAAAATAATCACATGAGCATGTCCAGTTTTCCTTCGGACAAATCTTTTATAACGCATCATTATTTTTCCTTTCCTTTCCCGGAGAAAACACGCATGAGGTGGGAAAACCATAGTTTTTATCTATATTTAAACAATTAAAAATTTGCAATTGGCTCAGATATATATGTATATATATATATATATATATATATATATATATATATATATATATATATATATATATATATATATATATATATATATATATATATATATATATATATATATATATATATATATATATATATATATATATATATATATATATATATATATACAGTGGTTTTCATAAATTTAGACGCACTCATATTTGAGAATAGAAATTTTTAGTTTTTTAACGATCAAACAATGACGAAAAAAGATTTCGGTTTAGTTTTTTTTCTATTTATTAGATAAATACATACAGAATACAAAATTTAAAAAAAGTTTACAAAAACAAAATGAAATACTAAATAATAATTAGGTACAACTACATGGTATTAAAAAAATGAGACAATAAAAATTATTCATAAATTTAGACGCACGATACATTAGAAGGCGTGATTTATGAACCAATCAATTTTTTGTGTATCCGCTTTTTGCTTTAATACAACTAAGAACTCTTCTAGGCATAGACTCAACAAGATTTTCGCACATCGCTTCTAGTTCCTCATACCAGGTCTCCTTAAGGAATTCCTTCAGCTGACCAAGTGTGGAAATTTGAACCTTTGCTAATTCACGGTCAATCTAAGACCAAACGTTTTCAATCGGGTTCAAATCAGGTGAGTATGGAGGCCACGGTATTGCCATGATATTACTATTGTTGAACCACTCCTTTGTATAGTATACAGTATGTGCAGTGGCGCCATTTTGTTGAAGTTTCCATGGTTTATCATTGAGCATAAGCAGGTCAATTGATGGAATTAGGTTGTTTTCCAGTACTTCTACGTATATTCTGGAGTTGATTCTTCCGGTGTATGTTTGGCACATACCAACACCTTTGTAATTGAAGCATAACCAGATTCCTATTGAGCCTCCTGGCGTAATACTTTTCGTGAGCCATTCTTTTGACTTTTATGTTAGATTTGCGATTGATAGCTTAAAGTTACTCTCATCACTTCACATAATGTTTTCCCATAGTTCTATTGTCCAATACCTTCTTTCACGACACCATTTTAGTCTTCTTTGTTTATCATATGGACGCAGAAGCGGTTTCTTCAAAGCAGTGTAGACTTCAATCTTGTATTTGATAAGTATTCGGCGGACTATGCTTTGAGAAATAGATGTATTTCGCGTTGTATTGAATTCTGTGTTCAATTCTTTGTAACTAATTTTTGGATTATCTCTGACAGCTCTAAAATGAACACTGTCGTCCTTTTTAGTGGTTGACAAGGGTCTACCTGGCCTCTTTTTCTCGCTGGCACCACCAGTGTGAAGAAAGTTTTGTTTTGTTGTCCGAACGCATTTCTCAGAAAATCCAATTAACTTGGCAATTTCTCTATTACTTTTGGTTCTTTCTTTGATGTGCGCAATAATTTGCCATCTTTCACCTTGAGTGTTATGTCTTTTGCCCATTTTTCACGTCTTTTTAGTGCAAAACTAACTTAACTTTTGTTTATTTATTAAATAATGATTAACTAATTCCAGGTAAGTCATATTTATATAAGGTTTTTTGACAAAATCAATTAATTTAGGCCTATTAATGATGAATATGGGAAAAAACTACTAATTAACTATCAATTAACAAGATATAAGACTTTTTTGATTGTGCGTCTAAATTTATGAACAAAATAAAATCAAGCTTATCAATTAACTTTTTTGTGTTAATCGGTATAGAATAAGTAATAAACATCCTGTAAAAAAAATTAACGTACTCTATAATAGAGTTTTACTTCCTCTTTTAAATTATATATCAAACATAGCGGTAGCACTTTTATTTTATTTTCATTTTGAGTATTTTCTTACACTAATGAAAAAAAAAAATGAATGCGTCTAAATTGATGAAAGCTACTGTATATACACACATACATATATATATATATATATATATATATATATATATATATATATATATATATATATATATATATATATATATATATACATATATATATATATATATACATATATATATATATATATATATATATATATATATATATATATATATATATATATATATATATATATATATATATATATATATATATATGTATATATACTTTTTATATAAAGCAATTGGCCCAGATGATTTAAATGGAAACACTGTTATTAAGTCATACGATAATATAAAAAATACTCTATTTAAAGTTCTTAAATGTTCAATAAGTCAAGGAATTTTTCCGGCCCAAATGAAGGTTGCAAAAGTGACCTTCATTTGGGCCGTAAAGGTGGTGAACTAACAAATGTTGGGAATTATCGTCCAATTTCAATTTTGTCAGTTTTTTCCAAAATTCTTGAAAGAATTTTATTTGATCGAATTTTTAATCATCTCTCTGAAAATAATATACTTGACAACAATCAGTACGGTTTCAAAAAAAATAACTCAACAGAATACGCAGTACTTCAACTCACAAGAATTATTACTGACCCCTTCGAAAAATCACAATTTACTTTAGGTATTTTTATAGAACTATCTAAAGCTGTTGATACTATTGATCACGGCATTCTCATAAATAAACTAGAACATTACGGTATCACTGGTAAAGTCTTAATGTTATTAAAAAGTTACTTAAATAATCGTAAACAATTCATGCATATTGATACACACTTAACAACTACTGCTTTAGATATATCCTGTAGAGTCCCCCAGGGTTTCATAATTGGACCACTGTTATTTCTAATTTATATTAATGACCTCTAAAAAATTTCTTATTTAATGACAATAATGTATGTTGACGATACTAATCTTTTCTTATCGCAAAACAACATCAATAACTTATTTAATGACATGAATGTAGAGCTAAAGAAAATATCTAACTGGTTTAAATCAAATAAGCTTTCACTTTATATTGAAAAAATTAAGTGGATTCTTTTTCATTCAGCTTACAAAAAGCATATACTACCAAGTGAAATGCTGCCGCTTTTCATTGATAAAATTAATATAAAAAGAGTAACTTATACTAAATTTTTAGGTATTGTTGTGAATAAAAATCTTTCATGGAAAAACCACATTGGAAATCTAAATAATAAAATAGCAAAAAGTATTGGGATTCTATATATAACAAGAAGCATTTTAAACAAACATACTTTAATTCAACTATATTACTCATTAATTATCTGCCATTTTAACTATGCTAATATTGTCTGGGGTCGTACCAACAAAATTAAGTAAACACGTTTGTTTTGTCAGCAGAAGCATGTAGCACGTCTTCTTAATTTTAAAGATCGTTTTACTCATGCCAGGCCTTTATTATTTAACATGAATATTCTTAATATTTACGAAGCAAATATATTTAACGTTCTTTGTTTTATGTTTAAATGCAAAATTAATGCATGTCCTGTTTCTTATCAAAATTTATATTCAATGAAAGAAAAAAATAACTATATATTAAGAAATAATAAACATATCCAACAACCAATTTTTCAATCAATATAGACAAATCTTGCATTCAATACCGTGGAGCCTTTATATGGAACAAAATAGTTTTAAAACATTTTGATTTTCCGCATAATTGGAATTATTTTTCTTTTAAAAGAAAAGTAAAAGAAGTAATTTTTTCAATTGATAACATATATTTATATTTTTAAATTATTACCTATTCCACAAAATAATTAAAGAATCGTAATCTGAACGACAATATTTTTTAGATTAAATATTATATATTGACATTACATATATACTGATGAAAACTGATGTAATTTTTTAAGCTTTTGTTTGCTTTTTGTTTGTTTGTTTGTTTATGCAAAATAATATATATTGAGAAATGTTATATATATATATAAATATATATATATATATATATATATATATATATATATATATATATATATATATATATATATATATATATATATATATATATATATAAAAATATATATATATATTTTTTTCAGTTTATATATATTTTCTGTTTATATAATAAGAAAATATAATTACAAAGAAACATTTACATACAAAAAAAGTTGATTTATAAAAACAGGCAGGGGCTGAAAGAAGATACGGATGACTAAAGTCACCACAATCTTTTCATAGAGCCTCTATGCGGGCTTTACAAGTTTAAAATAGAATAAGATTGTTAAAAATACAATTGTACAATTCCAATATAATAAAAAAAAAAACTTTCATAAATATTTACATTTAAAGAAAGAAAGGAAATAGTATTAATATAATTTTAACAACAGTCATTTAAAAAATACTGACATTGTTTTAAATAAAAAAAAAAAGACAATTTCTTTTTTCAAACTAAGAAAAATGGAATTCGATGTTTATTTGAAAATTTAAAAAATAAAAATTGCAAAATTAATTATAATTTTTAAAAATTTTATATTTTATTAGAAACTTAAAGGAGTTTAATGATTTTACCATATTTAAATGTTTGGTTTTTGAAATGTGTTCCATAGTTTCGGTCCACGGTATGCTATTCCATATTCAGAATAATTGCTCCTAATTCTTGGCAATTTATAAGTATTCCATTGGTTTATTCTAAGAGAGTAATTATTGTTAACATTTTTTGTAAATTTATTATTAAAGGTTTTCGGAATCAGGCTGTTACTATGTTTATACATAAAAGTTAAGTGTTAGTAAATATTAATTTCATATATGTTCATCATTTGCATGTCTTTCATTAGTGGTTTTGCATGTTAATATTTTTTTTTCTCATATATATTTAGTCTGCATGCATGTTTTTGTAGAGAAAATATTTTTTTAAGTTTTGTTGGTTGAGTGCTAGCCCATGTAATATTAGAATAGTAAATAAAACAATGTATTAGGCCAAAATATACTAGTTTCAGACTTTCTCATGTTACATATGGGCGAATACGGTATATCAAACCAATTGTTTTACTAATTTTTGATTGGATATAATTCATGTGAGGAAGCCATGATAAATTTTCATCAATAAGAATTCCTAAGAATTGCATTGACTCGTTTTTTCCAATTAGTTTATTATCTAAAATTAAATCTGGTAATTTTAAGGGAAGGTTTTCCTGTTGTGATTTTTTATGGAATAGAGTATACTTTGTTTTATCTACATTAAGTGACAGTTTATTAGCCTTAAACCATTCATTGACATTCCTTAATTCATAGTTCATGTCATAGTAAAGTTGTCTAATGTCCCTGTTTGATAAGAAAAGATTTGTATCGTCAGCAAACATTATCGCATTAAGTTTTGCTGAAGCATTATGCAAATCGTTTACATAGCAAGGGACCAAGAATTGACCCTTGTGGAACTCCTGATTCCTTATTAATAACATATTGTTTTCTTTCAGTGAGGTAGCTTTTTAACCAAACATAGATTTTATTTATTACTCCGTAGTCTTTAATTTTTTCTAAAAGAATGAGGTGATCAACCGTATCATATGCTTTTGATAGGTCAATAAATAATCCTAGAGTAAAGTTATTGTTTTCAAATCCTTAAGTAATTTGATCTACTATTTCAATTATTGCGTGTTTAGTTAAATGGTTTTTTTGAAAACCTAACTGTTTTGTGTAAAATAAACTATTTTCATTAAAATAGTTATAAATTATATTATAGATTACACGTTCGAATATTTTTGAAAATACAGAAAGTACTGATACAGGTCAATAATTAGAGATATCTGATTGATCTTTGTTTTTGTAAATTGAGCATACTTTTACCAACTTTAGTGCTTCAGGGAAAATACCTTCCTTTGTTATAAGTTTTATAATATGGATCAAAGGTCTGGAAATGTAATTTTTGTTTAAAATAACTATATTACTAGAAACGTCATCAAAGCCAGGTGATTTATTTTTTTTAAGAAAAGAAAAGGCTGTTTCATATTATTTTTTTTTTATTTTTAAAGTTGATTATGGTGCCCCAAGAAGTCCTTACGGTCTTATCACAGAGCACCGCGGAAGAGCATTTAATAGGAAGTTGACGCCTCTTTCCCAACCGATGTCGCAAAACTTGCCCAGAGGTGGGGTTTGAACCAAGGATCTTACGTTTCTGAAGCAAGTGCGCTACCACTGCGCCACGGCTGCTCATATTTTGTAAGAGAAAAGTCGGTATCGTGAAGTATTACGTCGTTTAACGATTCAAGATATAATTGAAATGAGTTGGGTGTGGTTATAATTTTTTTAGCAAGGTTCGGGCCAATGTTTGTAAAGTATTTGTTTAACTCATTCGAGATTTTTAAAGGACAATAAATATCAGTTTTATTGATATTTATTCTTTGAGGCAGTAAAGCCGTAGTTATTTTGTTTCTTCCCATTATATTATTATTTACATCCCATGTTTTTTTTACATCGAATTTGTTTTTTGTTAGTTCTTCACTATAATAGTTTTTTTTAGCTTTTATGAGAAGATATTTGTAAAACCGTTTATATTTTTTGTATATTTTTTCATTATCTTCACTTCTGTTTTTCAAAAATTTATTGTTAAGTTTTTGTTTATTTTTTGAACATTTATTAGAGTTTTATTCATCCAAGGATTTAGTATTGTTTTTTTTTAATTATTTTCAATTCATATGGGCACCTTTCGTTATATATATCAAGAAATGTTTGTAGGAAAATATTAAAAGCTTTTTCAGTATTATCACATTTAAAAACCTGATTCCACGACTCTTGCTTTAGTTTATTAAAACGATTATTCTTATTAATTGTTGATAAGTTTTTTTTGAATCTTAGAAGCCTCTTTGGTTGTGACATTAAAAAGATTTATTTTAATGTATATTGGGAAGTGATCACTAATGTCAGTTTTAAAAATACCTGTCTCAAATGATGTTTCTATATAACTGTTAATAAAAATATGATCGATTGCAGTTGCAGAGCTTTTTGTTATCCTAGTTGGTTTATTTATAACTGATAAAATATTATATTTAAAAAGCATATCAAAATATGATTTTGTTTTTGGAAATATTTTATAAGTCAGAGCATTCAAATTTATGTCACCAGCAACATACAAACTTTTTTTTCTTTATTTGTTTTTAGGACAGTATTTTTAATAAATTCTTCTAAACATTTAATTTTATCACTCGGCGGTCGGTATACACACCCAAATACAATGTTATTATTTTTGTCACTTGTTATTTCAATGAATAGACTTTCGTAATTAAGATTTAATGAGTATAGTTAATTTTTTATTTTGTATGAATATATCTCTAAAACATATATACCAACGCCTCCGTTTTTATTACTTCCTCGCGGTTAACTATTTAGCTTATAATTAGGTAATTTATAATTAGAATTAGCATCAAGTGTATTTTAATGCCAAGTCTCTGTAAGGGATATGACATCAAACGTGTAATTTATAATATTTAGAAATTCTTTAAATTTGTCAAAGTTTTGATTTATGCTCATAATATTTACATGTAGTATAGAAAATGAATCTATTTCTTTTTCCCCTTTAAATTCATAAAGCTCAAAATACGGTGTTTTCATTAAATTCCTTTGAATTTCTTGAAAAATATTTGTGTTATTTAATAAATTGTCTTCAAAAGGGTCAAATTTTATATTTTCAAAACCTTGTTCAAAAACATTATTCGAATCCATTTTTTAAATATAATAAATATAAAAGAATATAACTATTAATATATTAATAAATAAACTATTCACCTTAAGATATTAAATTTTCTGTTCTTTCAGAGTTTTTTGTTGAAATTCATGGACAATTAGTTTATACACAACTTTAGCATAATAATCATTTTGTCTATGAATTTTCGCCTTAGCGAAAAACTCTTTTTGAACTTTTCTAGTTGTACTACAATAATCTTCGTTAATAAAAATATTTGTACCTTTTAGCTTCGATGCGTTATCAGTGATCGTTTTTTTATCCTCGTAGTCGTGCAGTTTCATAACAATTGTTCGTTTGCGATTCTCGTTCAAAACTCCCACTCTATGCGCTCGTTCTATTTTGATTTCTCTTTGATATTAAGATTTTCAGCAAATAATTTCCTTACTTTTTCTTTGCTTTTTTCCCACCCTTTTTTATTGCTACTCTCAGGCAAACCAGGCAAACCAGGCAAACCAAACCACATCAATACGCAAGATGTTTCTTCGATTTCGATATATATTCACATATATTGAAAAATATTGTTAAAACTTGCTTAACATCTGAAGAGTATTATAGTATATAAACGCATTTAAAATTTGTTTTAAATATTTGTAAATTTATTTATTTGTTTTAAATCCTGATATAGATTTTAAAGAGTATCATGATAAGATCGTGTGATCTTCTGGAAGACCTCCAAGTAATATATTAAATATATATTCCACATATTATTAATGTAAATTTACCTTGAACATATTATTCTGGAAAAGAATAATATGTTCAAGGTAAATTTACATTAATAATATGTGGAATACATATATACATACATATATATATATATATATATATATATATATATATATATATATATATATATATATATATATATATATATATATATATATATATATATATATATATATATATATATATATATATATATATATTAGGATGGCTCTTAAAACAACTTTTTTGAGAAAAACCTGCTCCCACCCCCTATATGTGTTCTATCTAATACAAAAACACTAGGTTTAAAATTTTTTTGAATAAAAAATATTAAGCGTCCCTCAAGACCCTCGAATATTTAATGGGTCCCTAATATTTTCAAAAAAAAAGTCTTGCAAAAATATGGAAACCTGCTACTCAAATGAAGCGAAATTATATAAAAATTTCAAAAATTATATTCATTTTGAAAAAATTTTAACTTTTTTATCAAAACTATTATAAAAAAACATGAAAAATGCTTTTTTATCATTTTTTGTTAAAAAACATAATTTTTAAAGTAATAAAACCAAAAGTAACAACTTTTTTCAAAATTAATATTTTTTTTTTAATTTTTATATAATTTTGCTTTATTTGAATACCAGGTTGACATATTTTTTAAGAAGTTTTTTTTTGAAAATATTAGAGACCCATTAAATATTCGAGGGTCTTGAGAAACCCCTTAAAATATTTTTTATTCAAAAAAATTTTAAACCTAGTGTTTTTGTATTAAATAGAACACATTTAGGGTGGAGGAGCAGGTTTTTCTCAAAGAAGTTGTTTTAAGGGCCACCCTAATATATATATATATATATATATATATATATATATATATATATATATATATATATATATATATATATATATATATATTTATATATATATATATATATATATATATATATATATATATATATATATATATATATATATATATATATATATTTTTTTTTTTTTTAAGAAGTTTTTTTTTGAAAATATTAGAGACCCATTAAATATTCGAGGGTCTTGAGAAACCCCTTAAAATATTTTTTATTCAAAAAAATTTTAAACCTAGTGTTTTTGTATTAAATAGAACACATTTAGGGTGGAGGAGCAGGTTTTTCTCAAAGAAGTTGTTTTAAAGGCCACCCTAATATATATATATATATATATATATATATATATATATATATATATATATATATATATATATATATATATATATATATATATATATATATATATATGTATATATATATATATATATATATATATATATATATATATATATATATATATATATATATATATATATGTATATATATTTTTTAAGAAGTTTTTTTTTGAAAATATTAGAGACCCATTAAATATTCGAGGGTCTTGAGAAACCCCTTAAAATATTTTTTATTCAAAAAAATTTTAAACCTAGTGTTTTTGTATTAAATAGAACACATTTAGGGTGGAGGAGCAGGTTTTTCTCAAAAAAGTTGTTTTAAGGGCCACCCTAATATATATATATATATATATATATATATATATATATATATATATATATATATATATATATATATATATATATATATATATATATATATATATATATATATATATATATATATATATATATATATATATATTTCTTGGAGATTATAACGTCGACTATTTAAAATATGGTGAAAATAATAAAGTACAACAATTTTACGATAGCTTTAATGAGTTTGGAATGATGCCTATAATAAATAAATCAACAAGAATAACGCAACACTTTTGTTCTGCAATCGACAATATTTTCACAAATACACTCTTCCATTCCACATTTAAATCAGGCATCATCAGAAGTCACATAACCGACCATTTTCCAGTCTTTGCAATTTTCAAAAAACCAAAAGAGTTACAAAAAAAAGACTGGTACTTCAAAAAAAGAATCTTTACAACCCGAGCAAAAAATATGTTTAAACTAGAGCTATCAACTGTAAATTGGAACTTTGTTTTTCTCGAAACATGTGCTAATAACAGCTACAACCTTTTCTTAGATAAATTTTTCAATTTGTACGATAAGCATTTTCCTAATAAAATAATCCGTATTAAAACTAAAGGTCTTCTTAATCCTTGGTTCACTAAAAGTCTTTTAAAGTCTTCGAAGCGAAAACAAAAGCTATATATACGCTTTATTAATTCAAAGAAAGAACGTGATAAGCATAATTACTTAGAGCACAAACGTCTATATGAAAGAACTAAAAAAATTGCCAGAACTACATACTTAAAAAACAAGCTGTTAGAACTAAAAGGTTACTGCAAAAAAACGTGGGATGCTATTAAAGAGATTCTAGGAAAACAAAAAAATACAAAACAAAGCCTTACCAAGCGTGATTACTGTAGACGGCACACAGATCTCTGATGTAAAATCGGTGGCAACAAAATTTAATGAGTTTTTCGTAAATATTGGTCCAAACTTAGCCAGCAAAATTAAACACACTCCTGCACATTTCTTGAGCTATCTATCAAAGTCGGATAAAAGCTTAGCTTTTAAAAAACTCACTAGTAAAGAACTTGATGATTCAATAAAAAAATTAAATAAAAATAAAGCAACAGGCTACGATGCTATTTCAGCAAGCATAATCAAAGACTGCGACGAACTTATTAAAGATGTTTTATTAGATATTTTTAACAAATCGCTTAAAACAGGTGTTTTTCCAGATAAAATGAAAGTTGCAATTGTTACACCCATTTTTAAATCAGGAGATGAAAGTCTGGTTACAAATTATCGACCTATATCGGTATTACCTGTATTTTCAAAAATCCTCGAACGTATCATGTATAATAGGATATTTGCATTTTTGTATGATAACAATCTTCTTTATTGGAACCAATATAGTTTTCGATCAAATTACTCTACGGATCATGCACTTATGCAACTTGTTGAAGTTATCAGTGAAGCATCTTCTCATAGCAAGTTCACCTTGTTATGAGAAGATGCAAGGTATATTCCTAGACTTGTCAAAAGCATTTGACACCGTTAACCATCAGATTTTATTAGAAAAACTAAAATATTATGGAATAAGCCACGAATACCATAAATGGTTTACCAGTTACTTAACTGATCGAAAGCAGTTTATTTCTCTTAATGATGGCTTTCAGACAAACAAACTTAAAATATCATGTGGGGTTCCACAAGGCTCCATCTTAGGTCCGTTGCTATTCTTAATCTATGTCAACAATCTATATAAAGAATCAAATACTATGTCTACTATTATGTTTGCAGACGACACCACTTTATTCTATTCTCACAGTAATATTATCTCTCTATTTCAAGTAGCAAATAATGAACTAGAACAAATATCAAACTGGCTTTTCGCTAACAGCTTATCTTTAAACACTGATAAAACTAAGTTTCCCTTATTCCATTCTAAACAAAAGTTTCAATCTATTCCAAAATCCTTACCAATGCTATATATAAATAACATCAATATTGAGCGCTCATTCACAAATAAATTACTTTGTATTTTAATAGACGAAAACTTATACTGGAGAGCTCATATAAATCATATTAGCAATAAAATCTTAAGAAGTATTGGCATCTTATATAAAACCAGACGAATCTTAGACAAATCTACACTAACACAACTATATTTTGCATTCATAAATAGTTATTTATCTTATGGAAATATTGTTTGGGGTAGTACAAATAAATCTAAACTCGACTGTCTCCTTAAACAACAGGATCATGCAGCACGCATTATTCATTTTCAAAATCGCTTCACAAATGCTAAACCTCTTCTAAAAAGCAGAGGGCACTTGATATTTATGAGCTAAATATTTTCAAAATTACACAATTTATGTTTCAACATCAGTCAAAAAAAACGCCGAAGGTTTTCGAAAATATTTTCCATAAAACATTAAACCGATACAACACGCGATCTACCGGAAGATTTAAAAAACCTTTCCGTTCATCAAAACTTACGAGCTTTGCCATTTCCTATCGTGGCCCAATGCTATGGAACCATTTTACTAGTCAGAGTGGTAAACTTAAAGAGTTCAATAACTCTCAAAAATTTAAAAAGAACATAATCGAACTTATTGCCAATCACAATTCTTTACATGACTTTTTCTAACAATACACGATTATTTCCAATTTTCATTATCAAAGGTTACTGATGAAAAGACTTTATCTTCTTCAGGTTCTCCGGTCTTGTAACTATTATAAATAATGAAATGTACTTGTATTTAATATTTCTAAATGTTTTACGGAAATTATCTTTAATTGTAAATGGTTGCTTGACAAAAATTGAAAAAAAAAATATATATATATATATATATATATGTATATATATATATATATATATATATATATATATATATATATATATATATATATATATATATATATATATATATATATATATATATATATATATATATATATATATATATATATATATATATATATATATATATATATATATATAGTATATATATAGTATATATGTGTGTATATATTAGGGCTGTACCGAATTTCGGCTCCGGCTCCTGCTCCAGCCGAAATCCGGCCATTTTTACAAATCCGGCCCAAATCCGGCTCCGGCAAAATGTTTTTTACAATTTAATTAGCTAAGCCTAATTTCAAACAAGAACGCAACAAAAAATTCTGAAGAGAAGTCCTAATCAACTCATTAGATGAGCGTTTCAAAGGCATTGAGGAGAAACCTTTTTAGATTGAAAAAAATAAAGAAAATCCAGCAAAACAATCCCGGCTGGATAATTCTTATACATTATCATCATTACAATGGCAATATATATAGATGAAATTATTCAGTCTACGCCCGATTGTGGCACAGGACACGAACAACAATTACCAACAGGCATTGACACTCAGCTAAGCCAATATCTGGAGGAATCAGAAATATATAGACACGCTGATTCACTACAGTGGCGGAGTGACAACATCCCGGGAAAAAAAGTTCTGTAGAATTTCTCTAAATTTTTGAAACATATGGCCTATAGAAACTCTATAAAATTTATATAAAATGTCTATTAATTTCTATAGAAATTGCTATAAAACTTTTAAACAACAAAAATGATGTTTAATAGAAAACAACCCGACGGGCATTTGTTTTTAAAAGTTACGTTCTGAATGTGTTTTAAATGTCTTTTAAACGTCTTTTAAACATTAATGTTTAAAAGACGTTTAAAAGACATATAAAATACATTTAGATCGTAACTTTTAAAAAGAAATGCCCGTCGGGAACTGTCACTTGGTGATCTAAATAGTCAACATTGTTGACCATTTTCAACACCAAGTAGGGATATACAGGATTTTGGTTCCTGTAGTTTTGCTTCAAAATCCGGCTCCGGCTCCGATTCCGGCCAGATCTGTTAGTAAAAATCCGGCAAATCCGGCTCCGGCCGGATTTGGAAAAATTAAATCCGGTACAGCCCTAGTATATATAGTATATATGTATGTAATTACACACATACACACATATATATTATATATGTGTGTGTGTATAAACACACACATATATGAATATATATATATATATGTGTGTGTGTGTGTGTGTGTGTGTGTGTGTGTGTGTGTGTGTGTATACATGTGTGAATATACATACTAGGGGTGCACCGATGCATCAGCATCGGCCTTGATAACCATCGGCCGATGCCGATTGTTTTGAAATTTTTGAAATTTTATTTTTGATTCTGTGTTTTTAGATTATATCCAAACATAGAATTACGCCATAAACATAAATACAATGTATAAGTCTAACTTATTAATAATAAGTTATTATATAGGCATATATGAAACCACTAAACTAAAAATTACTGAGTGTTTTTAACGGGTTAGGGCAATAATATCCGTTTTTGTCATATATAATAACATCCGAAATTTCATCGATGTATAATAACATCCGTGCAACAACATCCCAAATTTCATTGATGTATAAAAACTACATCTGTAGATTTTTCGTATGTAACTACATCCGAATTTTTTTTTTTTTAATGCATTATTTTAACCAGATGTAGTTACACATCTGATTTTTTTTGGATGTAACTACATCCGCCAAAAAAAGTTTTTTATAATGCATTATTTTAAGCGTAATAATTTTTTTTAATTATTTGATAGACTGCCTGCCCAAACCAAACCCTCAGTCAATGTAGCAGCACTCCGTTGCGAGTCAGGCTATTTGTCAGTATATGTTGTAGCACTTATATAATATAATAATTATATATGTAACTTATATATGTAACTACATCCGGAATTTTTTTTTTTTAGTAATCCATCATTTTAACCAGATGTAGTTACACTTCTGATTTTTTTTCGGTATATAAGTTACATATATAATATAATAATTATATATGTAACTTATATATGTAACTACGTCCGGAAATTTATTTATTTTTTTTTTTTGTTTTATTTTTAATAATGCATTATTTTAGAAGGATGTAGTTACACATAGAGAAAAACTCTCGGATGTAGTTAGATCTTTCTAAAGATGTTATTAGACATCAAGGAAATTTTGGCTTTTGTTGCACAGATGTTAATTCAGTAAAGAAAAAAAGCGGATGATCTTACACAAAAATGTGCGGATGTTAATTCACTACTCCACGGATGTTGTGGGACAGATGTAGTAATCTTTTCCTCTTTTAACAGGACTCTCTACTTTTTTTAAAGTTTTCTTATAATTTAGTACATTAATTATATAACTTATGGATCCAAAACTCTACAAAGAAGTTTAAAATCAAGAAATGCACATTTAAAAAATATAATCATAAAGTATAACATATTTAAAACATAATAGACCAACTTGCGTCATGTTAAAAATAAATATAAATTTTTATTATGTTATGAAGAGTTATATATTATGTTATACAAAACTGTGAATCTATTTTTTTGTTTTCGTTTCTCCAAAAAATTTTCAATTCGCGTGTACAAAAGCTAGATTTTCTCCATGTTCTGCAATTAGTCGGGACCGTGTCGATTCATAAATGTTTCCCCCAGTACTAAACAATCTTTCGCTGAACACAGAAGAAGGCGGAGCTCATAAATATTTTTTGGCAAGGTATGAGAGGTCTAAAATTTTATTGCTACTAGAGTGTTTCTTTATACATGTATTTTTGTAATTTCTGAACATTCTTTTTGATGCAGATTAGACAGTGATAAGTAAAAGTTTATTTCATCAGTTTCTAAAAGAAAAGTAAGTAAATAAAAAATATAAAAACAAAACTATAATGTAAAGAACTAATTTTTATTATTAAAAGTTGTTAAATATTAATGAATATTAGTAATATTATTTTATTTCTATAACTATAATTTATATAATAGTTTAAAATAATTTATAATAATTTATAATAAGAACAAAAAATATAATAATATAATAAGAACAAAAAGTTACCAAAGTTCTAATTTAAAAAAATCATTTTAACTTACATTTTTTCCTTTTTCTCTAAATAATTTTTTGTCTCTGTTTTTTGCAGTTCTTTACTTTTGTTGATTTTGTAAATTCAGTGTCAAGAGGTGCTTTTGAAACTTGATAAAAAATGTTTTCTGCCATTTTTAATTTTTTGAGTGGAGAGCTAGGTTCTTGGGTTGATTCAGATGAAGTGTTTGTTTCATTATCTGATTGAGTTAAGTTATCGGTAGTTAAAAGGCAATCTGTAATATTAGTTTTATTTAGGTTCATATATTTCTCTTGAATATTTGATTTTATTGTGTCTTTCTCCTCATCTGATATGGCATAACTAAGTTTTAATCTTGGATCTAAAACTGTAGACATGTTCAAGTTTTTGTTATATTTATAGCTGGAAAACCTTGAGATAAAATCTTTTTTCAATTCTTCAATTATAGTTTTTATTTCACTTGCATTTTATGAAGCATAGGCTAGGTACGCTTCCATTGAAATTATAAATGGAATATTTTGGAACACTGATGCCCTATTTTCACTCATCTCTAGTGTAGCCGCCTCAAAATGCTTTA